GCGGGCCCGGTCTCGCCGAATGTTCTCACCCTCGCTCGCCTCCGTCGCGCGCTTACTCCCTTGCGCGCCCCCCCCCCCCCCCCCCCAGGGGGGAGGGCTCGGGCCCTGCAGCGTCGCCCCCCCCTCCCCCCCCCTTGGACGGAGCGCTGGGCATCGGGTGTCCGCCGGGAGGGGCGATGAAAAGGCCCGCGGCCCGAGGCCCGGCACCGCGGGGGCCCGGCCGGCATCTCACTCCGCCCTGTCCCCGACAACTCGCCGGCCCATCTCGGCCGTTCCGCCCCTGCGGCCCGCTCTTCCCTTCTCCCCCTCCCTTGCCTCTGTACGCGCGCGCGCGCACGCGCGCCCATCCGCCACTTGCCGCCGCCGGCCGCCCCGCGCCTGCCACGCGCCCGCCCCGCCGGCTGCCACGCGCCCGCCCCGCGTCTGCCACTTGCCGCCGCTGGCCACCCCGCGCCTGCCCCGCGCCTGCCCCGCGCCTGCCCCGCGCCCGCCCCGCCGGCTGCCACGCGCCTGCCCCGCGCCTGCCCCGCGCCTGCCCCGCGCCCGCCCCGCGCCCGCCACGCCGGCTGCCACGCGCCCGCCCCGCGCCCGCCACGCCGGCTGCCACGCGATGGACCCACGCGCGCGTCTGCTTTTGCTGCTGGCGGCCGCCACCTTGGGGCTGCTGCTGGCCTGCCTGCCGGCCGCCACCGCGTCCACCAGCCTGTCCTTCCCCATCCCCATCCCCGGGTTCGGTGGCAACCTGCAGCCCTCCTCGCGCGACTGCCCCCCGGGCCAGGGGTGCGCCACGTGCGACCCGAATGGCAGGTGCCTGACCTGCCCGCTCGGCGACCTCCTCCTGAGGGACGCCTGCGTGGCCCGGTGCCCGAGCCGGCATGTGGCCATCGGCGACTGGTGCGTCGCCTGCCCGGATGGCTGCCTGGAGTGCGCCGGGCCCGAGGCAAGCTGCTCCGCCTGCCAGACCGGCATGATCCTCTTCCAGGGGGCCTGCCATGAGGCCTGCCCGGAGGGGTCGGCCCCGGTGGGCACCGGCCCGGCGGCCGGCTGCGTCCCCTGCCCGGAGCCCTGTGGCACGTGCGCCGACGCCGGCCAAACGTGCACCTCCTGCGCCGAGGGCTTCACCCAGGTGCCCGGGACCACGCAGTGCGTCGCCTGCCCGGAGGGGTGCGCCAGCTGCGCGGACCCCGGCGGCCCGTGTGTCCGGTGCAAGGTGTCCTTCCGCCGGACCACCGCCGGCCAGTGCGTCCCCTGCCCGGCGGGCTGCGGCAATTGCAATGGCCGGCCGGACATCTGTGCGCAATGCCTGCCGGGGGGCGGGCTGCTCTACCAAACCCAGTGCGTCCCGGCCTGCCCGCCGGCCTACTTCCACCGCATCGGTAATTGCATGCCGTGCTACCAAAATTGCAGCGAGTGCCGCGACTCGCGCGCGTGCATCCTCTGCACGGGCGACATGCTGCTGCAGGGGGGCATATGCGTGGACCGGTGCGCGGCCGGCCGCTACAAGCACCCGGACCTGGCGGCCTGCTACGACTGCGCGGCCAATTGCGCCGCCTGCACCGGGCCCGGCGACATGTGCACCGCCTGTCGGCAGGGGTTCTTCCTGTCGGCCGACCGGCCCGGGGCCTGTGTCCCCTGCGCGGCCGGCTGCGCCAAGTGCGCCGGGCCCAGCGGCGCGTGCGTCGAGTGCGAGCCGGGCTTCTTCGGCCCCGGCTCCCAGCCCGGGGGGTGTGCCCCCTGCGGCCCGGGGTGTGCCCAGTGCGCCGGGCCCGAGGGGGCATGCACCGCCTGCCAGCCGGGGTTCTTTGCGCCGGCCGACCGGCCGGCCGTGTGCCTGCCCTGCGGGGCCGGCTGCGCCGAGTGCACCGGGCCGCAGGGCGGCACCTGCCTGGCCTGCCGGCCGGGCTTCCACCAGCAGGACGACCGGTGCCTGCCCTGCGGGGCCGGCTGCGAGGAGTGCGACGCCGCCGGCCGCTGCAAGCGCTGCCTGCCGCGCCATACCATCGGCTTCCGCAGCACCGAAGCCCAGTGCTTCCCCTGCGCCCCGGGCTGCGAGCAGTGCACCCACGTCCTGGGCTGCAGCGCCTGCCAGCCCGGCACCGTGCTCACCGGCCGGGGCGAGTGCCTGCCCTGCTCGGAGCACTGCTCCACCTGCCAAATGGGCCAGTGCATGGCCTGCGACCGGGGCCACCATCTGGGCCCCGGGGGCCGGTGCCTGCCCTGCCCGGAGTCCTGCACCGAGTGCACCGATGACGGCCGGTGCACCGCCTGCCACAAGGGCTTCGGCTACAGCCCGGACGGCGTGTGTGTCCCCTGCCCCGGGGGCTGCACCAGCTGCACGGCCCTCCGGGGGTGCATCTCCTGCCCGGACGGCTTCGTCCTCCACCAGGGCCTGTGCATGGGCAACTGCCCGGCCGGCTTCGTGGCCCGCGGCAACGACTGCATCCCCTGCCCGGCCGGCTGTCGAATGTGCCTGCTCCGGTCGATGGGCTGCTCCGAGTGCCAGACCGGCTTCTACCTGGTGGCCGGGGCCTCGGAGGGCGAGTCCCGCTGCGTGCCCTGCCCCGGGGCCGGGTGCATCGAGTGCGACCCGGCCCGGCCGGCCGTCTGCCGGGCATGCGCCCTGGGCCATGCCCTCCGGGAGGGCACCTGCCAGGCATGCGCCCCGGGCTGTGACCGGTGCGCCGGGCAGCCGCCGCACGCGTGCGACGCCTGCACGCCGGGCTTCCTGCCGGACCCGGACCAGGCCGGCGGGTGTGTCGCCTGCGCGGAGCACTGCCTCCGGTGCGCCTCGCCCGGCCCGGGCCAGCCCCCGGCGGCCACCTGCGCCGAGTGCCACCGCGGCTTCTTCCTGGACACCGGGCCCGAGGGGCCGGTGTGCCGGGCCTGCCCCGACACCTGCGAGGCCTGCTCGGCCGGCGGCCGGTGCACCTCCTGCCACAAGGGGCTGCACCTGTATGAGGGCACCTGCGTGCCTGCCTGCCCGGCCGGGTCGTACCCCGACGGGCAGGGCCGGTGCCCGCTCTGCCCGGCGACCTGTGTCACCTGCACGACGGGGCACATGTGCACCGCCTGCCCGGCCGGGCGCATCCTCCAGGGCGGCGCCTGCCTGGAGGCCTGCCCCGACCGGACCTTCCCGGACCCGGCGGCCCCGGACCAGTGCCGCTTCTGCCCGACCGGCTGCGCCACATGCACCTCGGCCGGCCAGTGCGACAGCTGCCTCGAGGGGTACGTCCTGTCGGCCGGCCCGGGCGGCGACACCATCTGCCAGCTGTGTGCCCCATACTGCGCCGAGTGTGTCCCCGGCCCGGGGGGCCTGGCCGACGCGGCCGAGTGTGTCCGGTGCGCCGGGGACTTCCACCTGGTGGCCGGCAGGTGCCGGGGCTGCCCGGCCGACTGCGCCGCCTGCGACGCGAGCAACATCTGCACCCGGTGCCGCGACCCGGCCACCTACCTGGCCGATCGCCGGTGCATGCCGTGCGCGGAGCACTGCGCCGCCTGCGCCGGGCCCCGGTGCGACCAGTGCGCCGAGGGGCATTTCGTGGTGCCGGCCAGCGGCCAGTGCGCCGCCTGCCCGGAGGGCTGCCACACCTGCGCCCAGGCCGACCGGTGTGATGTCTGCCAGGCCGGGCGGTACCTGGACCCGGCCGGGGGGGCCTGCCCCCGGTGCCCGGCCGGCTGCACGGCCTGCTCCGGGGCCGATCGGTGCACGGCCTGCGCGCCCGGCCGGTACCTGGCCCCGGGCGACGGGGCCTGCCGGGCCTGCGCCGAGGGGTGCACCGCGTGCGCCGGCGGCCCGGGCCAGTGCACCGCCTGCCAGGATGGCCGGTACCTGGACGCCGGGGCCTGCCGGGCCTGCGGGGCCGGGTGCGCCGCGTGCGCCGGCGGCCCGGACCAGTGCACCGCCTGCCAGGCCGGCTGGTACCTGGACGCCGGGGCCTGCCGGGCCTGCGGGGCCGGGTGCGCCGCCTGCACCGGGCCCGACCAGTGCACCGCCTGCGCCGAGGGGTACTTCCCGGTGGCCGAGGCGCCCGGGTGCCGGGCCTGCGCGGCCGGGTGCGCCACCTGCACCGAGGCCGGCCGGTGCACCGGCTGCCCGGCCGGCCGGTACCTGGACCCCGGCCCGGGCGCCTGCCTGGCCTGCCTGGACCGGTGCCTTGACTGCACGGCGGCCGGCCAGTGCCGGCACTGCGAGCCCGGGTTCTTCCGGCGCTCCGGCCCGGAGGGGGTGTCGTGCGCCGGCTGCCCGGAGCACTGCCTCGACTGCCAGGCCGAGGGCCAGTGCAGCGCCTGCGCCGAGGGCCACCGGCTGGCCCAGGCCGGGGCCCGGTGCGAGCGGTGCCCCGGCTGGCCGGCGTGCGTGGCCTGCGGCCCGGAGGACGACTGCACCGCCTGCGCGGCCGGCTTCCACCTGGCCCCGGGCCCGGGGCCCGGGCCGGCCACCTGCCAGCCCTGCGGCCAGGGGTGCGCCCAGTGCGCCGGGGCCGACGGCGACTGCCGGGCCTGCGGGCCGGGCTTCGTCCTGGTGCCCGGCGGGGCGGCCGGGGCCCAGCACCGGTGCCAGGCCTGCCCGGAGGCCTGCGCCCAGTGCTCGGTCCCCGGGCAGTGCGACGCCTGCCAGCCGGGCCGGTGGCTGACGCGCGACGGCCAGTGCGCCGGCGCCTGCCCGGCCGGCGACTTCGCCGACCCCTCCACCGGCGCCTGTGCCCCCTGCCACCCGGCGTGCGCGGCCTGCTCCGGGCCCGGGCCGGGCGACTGCACGGCCTGCTCCGGCGGGGCCCGGCTCGGGGGCCCGGGCGACCAGCCGGCCGGCCCCTGCGAGCCGGCCTGCGCCGCCGAGCCGCCGGCCTGCGCCGCCGAGTGCGCCCCCGGGTGCGACCGGTGCGATGGCCTCGGGCCGGGCAGCCGGTGCTTGCGCTGCCCCGGCCCGGGGGCCATGCTGACGGCCGATGGCCGGTGCGCGGCGGCCTGCCCGGCCGGGCAGGTGCCCATCCAGGCCGGCCCGGAGCGCCACTGTGCCCGGTGCTCCGGGCTCTGCGGGGCCGGGTGCGCCGGCCCGGCGGCCGACCAGTGCACCGCCTGCCCGGCCGACCGGCCGCTCCTCCAGGCGGGCCGGTGCGTGGCCCGGTGCTCGGCGGCCGGCTGGTTCCTCGACCCCGGCGCCGCGGCGTCATCCCCCGGCAGCGGCGGCGGCGGCGGCGGCGGCGGCGGCGGCGGCGGCGGCAGCGGCAGCGGCAGCGGCAGCGGCAGCGGCAGCGGCAGCGGCAGCGGCAGCCCCGAGCAGGCCCCCGCACGGTGCCAGCCCTGCGACGCGTCGTGCGCCCGCTGCATGGGCCCCGGGCCGGAGGAGTGCACCGCCTGCCCGGTGGACGACATCTTCGTGCCGGTGCCGGGGCCGGAGCAGGCCGAGCCCCGGGGCGCCTGCGTGTCGGCCTGCCCGGGGGAGTGCGCGGCCTGCGGCCCGGCCGGGCTCGACCCGGCGGCCGACCCCCCGCCGTGCACGGCCTGCGTCGAGGGCTTCCTGCTGGAGGAGGGCGCCTGCCGGGAGGCCTGCTCGGCCGGCCGGTACCCCGGGCCGGGGAACGTCTGCCGGGCCTGCGCCGACGAGTGCGCCACATGCGCCGGGCCCGGGCCCGAGGAGTGCCGGGACTGTGCGCCGGGCGGCCCCGGGGCCGGGCCCGGCACGTGGGCCAGCCCGGCCCGCGGCCCCGGCGACATCGGCCCGTGCGTGGGCGCCTGCCCGGCCGGGCACTTCGGCCATGCCCCCTCGCGCCAGTGCCGGGCCTGCCACAGCGAGTGCGCCGAGTGCTCCGGGCCCGGGGCCGGCGATTGCACCGCCTGCCACGGGTCGCTCGCCCTGCTGGAGGGCATCTGCCTGGGGGCCTGCCCGGAGTGGGGCTTCTGGGCGGACGCCGCGGCCGCCGGCCAGTGCCGGGCCTGCCTCGAGGGCTGCGCCCGGTGCGCCGGCCAGGACACCTGCACCGAGTGCCAGCCGGGCCGGCACCTGGTGCGGGGGCCCGCGGCCGAGGGGGACCGCCCGGCCGGGCCGGACGCCTGCCCGACCGCCTGCCCAGCCGGCTTCTTCAGCGAGCCGGTCCCCGGGTCCGGCGGCCGGCTGGCCACCTGCCAGGCCTGCGCCGCCTCCTGCCACCAGTGCACCGGCCCCGAGCCGGAGCACTGCCAGGTGTACCCGTGCCAGGTGACCAACACCTGCTCCCGATCGTCCAGTACGTGTGCCCGCGCGCCTGCCCTTGCCAAGGGGGGCGCGGCCGCCGGGGCCCCCCCCCCCCCCTCTCGCCCGCCTGCGTGTGCGCGCGGCCGCCACTAACCATGCGCCTGCTGCCCGTCCCCCCCCCCCCTCTCCCCCCCGGCCCCCGGCCCCCGGCCCCGGTCGCGCGTGTGGTGCTGCCGTCTTGGTGTGCAGGGCTCGCGGCCGTGGTCGGCCTGTCGGTCGGCCTCAGCGTGCTGGCCCTCCTCCTGGTGGCCGGGCTCTTCTTCTACATCTTCTTCTTCCGCATCCGGGCGAAGGCCCCGGCCCAGCCGGACACCGAGCTGCAGGTCATCGAGTGAGGAGCCGGGGCCCCGGCACACCACGAGCCCGAAGCGAGCGAGGCCACATCCGGCCGGGGGCGAGGCCGGCAGCCACGGCGCCGGGGGGGGGGGGGGGCGGGCGGGGCCAGGGGGAGACCGGCGAGAAATGCGCCGCGCCATCGTGTGCCCGCACAGTCGCGGGCAGCTGCTGGCACTTCGGCGGTCCGCCCGCCTCCGCCCGGATCCGCGCGCCTCCTGGCAGGTCTCAACACCTTCCGGGGGCGGCTGCCTCCCCCCCCCCCCCCCCCCCCCCCCCCCGCTTTTTCCCCCTCACATGTGTGCCGCGCAAGCGCCGGCCGAAATACACCTCCATCCATGGAGCCTGAGTTAAGCCCGGGCCGCCCCCGCCGCCGCTGAGCTAAGCGTCCAACGGCGATAGCCCTGCCCGGCGGGGCTCTACCGGGGCCCGAGGTCCGGGGCGCGGACCAACCTCGGTGCTATTTATATGCCCAGAGGCCGGGGCCCTCCCTCAGTCCGAATGATGTAGATGGTTATCATATCTGTCTAACACACAGAATGTCCCAGGTTCGAGTCCTGGTTCGGACAGACTTTCCTTTTTTGGCTGTGGGGGCCCCCTGGGGGGAGGGGGAGCGCCGCCCGTGTGTCCGTGCGCGGGACACAATCAAAACAATAGGCCGGGGGGTGGGGGAGAGGGGGGGGGGCCGCACGCTGCTGCGTGTTTGTGTGCTTGGGTGTCGTCGGAGGATGGCCTCGGCCGCGCAGGCATTTTCCCCGCGACGAGGGCGGCTTCCCAGGATTGTTCCCCCGCGGCCGCCGGTGGGGGGGACACGGCATGGCAGGCAACTTTCCCTGGCGCCGGGGGATGTTGCCTTGGCAGGACTGCCTGTTCGCGGGCCGTCGGGGGGGGGGGGGGGGGGGGGGCCGGCCGGTCCCATCGTTCCGGGGGGGGGACGATGCCGGCCGTGACGGAGGGTGAAACGACCGGCCGCCGGGGCTGCGCGCACTGAGCGGCGCATGCCCCTGGGGTCCGTGCGGTTGGGCGCCCGCACGAGGCACGTCCCGCGGCCCCTCGCTCTTTGGCCGTCGCTGCTGCTGCTGCGGCGGCGGCGGCGGCGGCGGCGCTCCGGCATCCGGGAGCGCATGCCAGACGAGGAATGGGCCGGCGGGAGGTTGTTCGCAAGCGATGTTGATGTCGCTTGCCGGGTGAGCGGGGGCGAACCCGGGCCGGCGGCATTCTGTTCGCCCCCTCCGGCCGATGTGCAACGGTTCTGGACCGCGTGTGTAGGCGTGTGCATCATTGCCGGGTGTTGTTTTGATATGCTCGCCGCAGGCCGGCCTTGACCGCTGAGGAGCAGGGGGGCGGGGGATGCGGGACAGGGCGCGCGGGCCCGGGCGTGAGGGCGCGCCGGCCCCCGGCCGGGGCCCCGGCGCCCGCCGGATGGCGCGATCAACGGTCCCCCGGGAGCGCCGGGGCGAGTGAGACACAGTGCTACATGGCCGGGTCGCCGGCCGGGGGCGGGCGGGCGGGCGGGGGGGGGGAGGGAGCCTGGCCGTCTTAGCCCCTCCACCCGCCTCGGCCCTCCCCCGGTCCCTGCCCTGGGGGAAACCACCCGGAGGAGGGGGCCGGAATCGGCCCTGCTCCCAACCACGACGCCC